TTTTTTTTTTTTTTTTTTTTTTGTCTTTAACTTCTCTAGAATGTTTCTGGAAACCAGCCACTTAGGTTTCTAGCCCTATATATACATATATATATATATATTTTTTTTTTTCTGGTAGCATAATGATAGTATAGTACAGTAATTAAGAAGTTGGGATTTGAAATCATATAACCTAGTCTGCATCCAAATTCTGTTCCTTGTTAGTTCTGTGACCTTAGGTTGGTTGCTTAGCCTCATGAAGCATCAGTTTACTTATCTATAAAATGCAATAATAATATCTGCCTTATACAGCTATTGTGAGGATAAAATAAAATAGTATGTATAAATCTAAGTCCAGGCCTTGGCACATAGTAAAAACTTATAAAATGTGGATTGTTATTTTACTTTAACTGGCTCCATTTTGTACTAAGTTATTTGGGATCCTAGCTCTAAAATCTTGATTTAGAAGCTCCGCAATGACAAGGACTGGGTCTTATTTATCCTTGCATAGTGTATGATATACGCAAGGCTATTTTATTTCATATTGGCACATATACATAAGGATGACTAAAATTTTATTCTCTTATGTAAGTAATCTGTCATTTATGTGTGGCTTGGTTTTGTTCAGTAAAGGCACAACATATTGCCAACATTTCAGATACTATGATTGTAATTTAAAGAGCTGTAGGAATCCATGTTGTACCCTTAGTTTTCAACCTTCTTTTCCCTAAAAGACACACTCCATACCCAGCATTCTCCAGTGGCCATAGTCAGCATCAGGAGCAAGTCTCTGATATATTATCTACCCAATTCTCTTCCACTTAAAAATGGAAGTTATTATGCAAATAATCCAGAGTCACCCAATAATAGGATACTTATGAATCTACTCTAAATTAATATGTAAATCATTTTACACATTATTATTTTAACTGTCATTGTTATTATCATGTTACATGGTGACTAGATCAAACTTCTTCAAAGAATTCTTTGAATTTTTCAGAATTCTTCAAAGTCAGCACCTTTCTGTTTCTCACCACTTCCTATCCACTTAATCACCACTAACTAGCTACTGCATGAAACCCTTTATTTCCTTAGTTTTTTTTTTTTTTTTTCCCCTTTTGTCTTTTTTCATGTCCGGCAACGGATCGCAACCCTCAGTGTCGCGCCCGTACCGGACCGGGACCGGCAACGGGATCGCAACCCTCGGTGCTGCGCCCGCACCTCGCTCAGCCAGTGAGCAGCCGGTCTGTATGTGGGATTCGAACCCTCGGCGGGAGCGCCGCCGTGCTCCCAAGTGGCGCACTGTAGCAGTGCGCCACTGAGCCGGCCCCTATTTCCTTAGTTTTTTTTTTTTTTTCCCCTTTTGTCTTTTTTCATGTCCGGCAACGGATCGCAACCCTCAGTGTCGCGCCCGTACCGGACCGGGACCGGCAACGGGATCGCAACCCTCGGTGCTGCGCCCGCACCTCGCTCAGCCAGTGAGCAGCCGGTCTGTATGTGGGATTCGAACCCTCGGCGGGAGCGCCGCCGTGCTCCCAAGTGGCGCACTGTAGCAGTGCGCCACTGAGCCGGCCCCTATTTCCTTAGTTTTTTTTTTTTTTTCCCCTTTTGTCTTTTTTCATGTCCGGCAACGGATCGCAACCCTCAGTGTCGCGCCCGTACCGGACCGGGACCGGCAACGGGATCGCAACCCTCGGTGCTGCGCCCGCACCTCGCTCAGCCAGTGAGCAGCCGGTCTGTATGTGGGATTCGAACCCTCGGCGGGAGCGCCGCCGTGCTCCCAAGTGGCGCACTGTAGCAGTGCGCCACTGAGCCGGCCCCTATTTCCTTAGTTTTTGACACCAGTGTTTCTCTGGTACTCTCCCCTCAACCAAAACTGGTCTTCGCAAGGCTGGAAATGTCTACAAATCATCTCTTTCCAGTTCTCATTCTCTCTGCCATCTAAGCAACATTCAACATTACAGCTATCCCACCAATGAATGTCTCTATCCCATTGGATTCCTTGACATCAAGAACTATCCTGGTCTTCCTCTTAGCTCTCTAAACACTTCTGACTCCAGAGATGTGATTCTTCCCTCTCTCCCACCCCTAACCTTGGGATTCCCTAAGGGTTTTTATGGAGACCCTCTTATTTTCTCTCCCACTCTCCCTTCCTTGGTGATATTATTCATTTTCAGTACTTGGCCATCACTTTTGTAAGTATAAGTTCTACATATTTATCTCCTGGGTGGCCTCCCTGTCCAACCCTGAACCCATGTTTCTAATACTGCTGTATCATCTGGAAGTTCCATCAAATTCAATATCCCTAAGATATTTATTGTCTTTCCACTAAAACCAGCTCCTTATCATGATTTTTAGCAGTGGATATCACACTTCTCCTAGGCAGCCTTAAAAACTTTTGAATTAATTCCGGTACTTCTTTTTATGTCTACCTTTCTTTCTTTTCCTTTTCTTTCTTTCTTTCTTTCTTTTTTTTTTATTAATTACTCTTTCATCCCAATAAACTGTTCAGTGTTGCCTAGGCCTATGCGTTCATATCTTTGAATTTCTCCATTTTCTACTTCCTCTGAATGGTATTGCCCGACTGTAGATACAATGAAGAACACTGCATAAGCTTCAGAGCCTGACAGAGGCGAAAGAGGTGTAAAAGCAGTGATTCTAATATAATGAAATAGTGGTAATAAAGGAGATGCCTCCTAGGGAAGAGAAGGCAGGGAATACTTCTCAAAGGGGGTGACATATGAGCTAAAACTTGAAAGGGGAATAAGAGTCAGACTGACAAAGCCAAGATGAACATTCTGGAAATAATGACATGTGCAAAGGAATGCAGGCAAAGAAGCCCATGACTCATCGTTGAAGTACAAGTAGCTCTGTAAGGCTGGAACTCTAGAAGCAGGAGATAAAGCACCAGAGGTAGCAGGATTGGAGGGAGAGCTTTGAGGACATTGTTTTGATTATCCGCTGCTATGGAACAAACCGTAAAACCGCATGCCCTAAAGCAACATCATTTATTATTTTTCACAGTGCTCCAACTGGGCGGCAAGCTCTGGGGACAGTTCATCTCTGCTCTGTGTAGCATAGACTGGCATGGCTTGACTGGGGCCAGGGGACCCGAAATCCTCTCCCCCATGGCTGACATATCAGCTGAGGCAGAGGTGGCTGGCTAGGTTTCCCTTTTTCTTTCCCCATGGCCTGTCCATATTGATAGTCCACTTCAGATTTCCTTACATGAAAGCTATATCCTAAGAGGACAAAAAATGGAAATGCAGAGCTTCTTAGGGCTTAGGCCCTGAAGTCACATGACATCCCTTCCCCCACACTCTACTGGTCAGAGTCAGTCACAAGACCAGCTCGGCTTCTAGAAAAAGGGAGATTAACCCCACCTCCCTTTGGGAGGAGCACATGAATGTAAAGGGAGTGTTGGCAGCTATCTTTGCAGATGGTCTACCACAGGCTTTCTAGATCGCTGCATTCAGTAGGGAACTATTGTAGGATTTTAAGCAGCAGACTATCATTTTAAACATATGTGTTTAAAAATATGTCTTTGATTCTTTTATAGAGATTGTGTTCAGGGGTCAGGGGTCAGTACCTGGAAATAGGTTAACCTCAGGAAAGTGTTCTCCTTGGGCCCACATGCCTTGCCACGATTTTTCTTCCTCGTGGAAGCAGATAGAATGAACAAAAGGGACAGATACTTTTCTTTTTTATAGCAAAATAGCACCAAAGTAATACCCAGGATTCTATGTTCCTTCCTGAAAGCTGGACTTACTTCTTCCACAGGGGAGGAAATATGTAATACCACAAATCCTCTGCCTAAAGCTTTTTTGTTTAGGAATACTATTGCTTGCTTATTTTATATTGCTGTTTCTATAAATAAACCACAAAAGTCAGATGAGATTGTCTGGGAGGGCATAAGTCTGTTTCATATTTCCAGGGCTTTTCTCGTGTCAGAGCATGCATGTGTATGTGACAATAAGGCTTGGGTGGGCATTTTATTTCTGTGCCAAATGATCACCTTGCCTCTTGGCACTAGTCCCCACTCCAGTGGTCTACAGGGTCAGTGCCTCTGAAAAAGCCACAGAATATTTGCATAATTTGAAAGGTTTTATTATACCAGCACAGTACTGAATCTCCTTCATGAATAGCAGCTTTAATATGAAGTCAGTTGTAATGTGAGCAGGAGAGAACAGAGACCTAATGTGTGTGAAAGCTTCCTAGAGCAAATTGAGATCCAAAGTCCAGGAACAGACAGAAGATAGTCCTTCTGGATTTTCGGAAGGTTGTATCGCCGCTTCACCTAAGTGTTTCTTGATCCAGGATTTTGATCTGTAAAGAAAAGAGTTTCCCTTTATTGGTACAGGAGCCTGAGGGTTAGGTGGAATATGGTCCCTCCCGGTCAGCGTTCAGGCACTCTCTCAGCCTCACTGAACATTCAATTAACACTCTGGTATGCATCAAAATGATGTTCATTTCCCCATAGAGGCTCCAGAGCATAGTGGCTAGAAGTCAGGTTCTTCTAGAGAGGTTTGGTCTCGAATCCCAGTTTTTCCTCTTCCTAGTTAAGTGACTTTGAGCAAATTCCTGGACCACTCTAAGCTTTGGTATTCTCAGTAATAACTGCACTTTCCTCATAGGATTGCTGTGACAGATTCAAAGAAATAATATTTATTGCACTTAACCCATGCATGCTAAGAATGCTCAATAAATTTAGTGCTATTGTTTTTAATGGACTTCCTGCTGATCTTTGCTGTATTTCTATTTATTTCTCAGGGAGATGTTAATCTCTGTGGCTCTGGGCCAGGTGTTATCCCTTCTTATTTGTGGAATTGGCCTGACTAGCAAGTACCTGTCAGAAGATTTCCATGCCAATACGCCAGTCTTCCAGAGTTTCCTCAATTATATCCTTCTCTTCTTGGTCTATACCACCACACTAGCCGTCAGACAAGGTAAGCTCGCAAAACCACCATGAATATAGCTTTTTCAAACACTTAGAAGAATATGAGCCATAACCAGATAACTTTTTGTCACAGCATTAGTAAGATAATTCAAAACCCCAAATCTCACTTTTTTATTTTGCAATAACACAGCAAACGAAATGAATGAACAAATCACAGAGAAGCCTAAACTGTGTGAATTCAGTGGGAAATGGGAAATGGGAAATGCATGTATAGGCAGAAATGTACAATTGCTCACCATTTGAGTCCGTGTTAACATTCCTCATACCTCTCAATGAACCTAAATCAAGTGCTTCCCTGGAACGTGGAAAGGGCTCAATGAAGCTGTCATAAATAATGCTAGCCCTGAGAAATCCAAAGGATTTGCAGACAAATATATTTCTGTGGGAACGCGACACAAGAAAGATAAAAATAGTAAACATAATCGACACAGAGGAAAAGAAAGAAAAGAAAACTACTGCAAAAGGTTAGGCAAGCTGTTAAATTATTTTAAAATTAAAATCCTTAAAGCAATAAAACAAGTCCTCCAGGAGTCAATGCAAGAAAAACGTTGCAGTTGAGCATTCTGGTGTAATATTCCTGTAAGGTATGCTTCAGAGCTTTGTGATTATACCACTGAATCTGGTATACACACGTTTATCTATGGTCCAAAAATAGCCAGTGATTTTCCCCCAAACAGTAGCTGTTGACTGTAAAATATGCATTGAAAAATAATCACTAATAGGTTTGAAGACAATTACATACATTAATAATATATAAGGACACATGTATAGCTGTATGTATCAATCTTAATAGTCATACCTTTTAAAAACTTTTATAAGAACTATTTAATGATATTTAATTTTTACGTTTCCTTCTTTGGATTGCTGTCCAGAATAATATTGCTTCATTATAATGATTTGGCCAGTACTAGGTTTCATCTTAGAGGAGGAATAAAAATGAACAAGTTGGGCTGAGTTGCAGTTTAATTTTGGATCTGTTTAAAGAATTGGAGAAGCTAATTTCATTTACTTTCCAAAATTGGTGCTATTGGTGCATTGTTACTTCAAGAATAAAATGTCAGCTAAAACCTGAGGCTACAATAGTTAAAGACACTGAATCTCAGCTATGTTTTCTCAGTGTGATTTGGAAACTAATATTTTGAAACAATATAAATACATTATCTAACAGTCATCCCCAGTGTTTCACCACTGGTGCCTCAGTCTAGGAAAGGACCCCAGGAAGTGAGGAAATGGCGGGGGGAGGGGGGAGTGGATATAATTAGAAATTCACTTATAAGAGACTGTTAATATGAGGACTGTGTGGCTTGGCCATATCAAGAGGAGAGAGCTAAGCAATTGGACTTAAAACTCCCTTGATGTAAGCTTGAATCACTATTAAAAGAATAGAATTATTTAGCCCAGTAAAAGGAGTATAATTAAGAATAACAAGGTTATGGTGGGACTGCAAAATGGTGCAGCCTCTGTGGAAAATGGTATGGAGGTTCCTCAAACAGTTGCAGATAGATCTACCATATGACCCAGCTATCCCACTGCTGGGAATATACCCAAAGGAATGGAAATCATCAAGTCAAAGGTATACCTGTTCCCCAATGTTCATTGCAGCACTCTTTCCAATAGCCGAGAGTTGGAACCAGCCCAAATGTCCCTCATTGGATGAGTGGATATGGAAAATGTGGTATATCTACACAATGGAATACTACTCAGCTATAAAAACGAATGAAATACTGCCATTTGCAACAACATGGATGGACCTTGAGAGAATAATATTGAGTGAAACGAGTCAGGCAGAGAAAAAGAAATACCACATGTTCTCACTTATTGGTGGGAGCTAAAAATACACAAATAAATTCACTCACACACACACACACAAAAAAAAAACTGGGGGGGAAGAAGATATAACAACTACAATTTCTTTGAAGGTGTTACAACAAGCAAACGGAAAGGACATTCTTGGGTGGGAGGGGGAAGAGGGAGGAGGGAGGGAGGTTTCGGTGATGGGTCATAATAATCGACCACATTGTATATTGACAAAATAAAAAAAAACAAAAACAAAAATAAATAAATTAATTGACTTGGGGAAAAAAAAAGAATAACAAGGTTAAATTAGGAACAGTTTTGCAACACTGTAATATTACAAGAAAAATTTTATATCAAAGTGGTGAGTTTGATATGAAATTAGTGAATACTAGAACCACATAGCCCACACTACGAAATGGTGTATTGTAGCTAGTCTTTGGGTTCTTGTCTTAATTTCCAGGAGTCCAGAGATTTCACAAAAACCTGCATCAGGAAAAAAAATTAAGCCATTCTAAAAAACAGAGAGAACCATTTCAACAATACCAATAATTTATAGATAAGACTAGAAAAGCTTAGAAAACTAAATGTGGTAAAAGACCCAGAGTTAATAATAACAATACCGTCTGTTGAGCCTTTATAATGTGCCAGCCATTATGCATGTGAATTATCCCTTTTATTCCTTTAATCCAAGGAAATAGTTATTATTATCCAAAATTTTATAAATGAGAAAACCAAGGCCCTGACTGCCCTAGGAAATGCTCAAGGATTTAGGTGAAGAAGTGGTAGAGGCCAGTCCTAGGCCCGGGATGTGAGGGCTCTGTGCCTTCAGGGCTCACCTGCCTCTCCATGTGAGGTTCAGGGGAGGCAGGAGAAGGGGTGAGAGACTCTTTGGAACAAAAGGAGAGTTTTTTCCTTGAGTTTCAAAACCCTGAATAAGAAACAAGACCCGGCATGTAAGGTCTAGTAAGAGACAGCAGTGCAGTCAAGACAATGTCATAGACGATTTAGAGAGAGGTGGGGGGGTGGACAGGGAAGAGGGACAAATGGAAAGAGGCCAAGGACAGGAGCAGAAAGGACTTTGGAGGCTCTTTGGAAAGAAAGGCTGAAGAGGCCCTGGGGAAACTCTGACTGTCAATCCCAGTCAGTGATGGAGAGAATCCATTAATCCATTTCTAAAATGCCCTCTCTGGAGATTTTTACCGTTGCCTCCAATTATCACTAAATTTGCTGGCATATCTTCATTTGGGTGTTTACTCAGAATGTTTATTTGTTTTAAGCTTCCTCTTTAGAGGCTTTCATAGGCTGGCATAAACTAACACCTGGAAATCAACACAGTAATTACATTAATTTTGTATAGGCTGATTCAGTACTATGTTCTGGAGACATAATCATCTTTTTACTCAGGTATCTCAAGATTTGGGAGGGAATGAACAACAAAGAGAAGGAGATGGAAAGTCTTGAACAAGAGAGGATTTCTCACAGTCACAATTTCTCCTCCCTTCCCAGTGCTGCCTGAGGGCTGCAGCTTAGGTCTCAGCCAGGTGCTCGTCCTAGCTCTTCCAGCACAGACATCATCCAACCTGCTGGGCCCTTATATTAATTTGATGCCACTTTGGGCCACATAAGTTAGACTCTGAAATATATTTTTAAGCAAATCTCTCTTTATAACTTTAATCATACAGCATCTAAAAATTTATGATTGTCACATTTGAGCACAATGTGATTAATGCAAGAAGCCTGATCAAGAGCATTAAGGGTGATGTTCTTATAAAAATCTTGCCAAAAATTGACTTCAAAGTTAAATTGAATTCTCCATATCAAATTTTCATTGGACCAGTGATCAAAGATTCTGATGTAGTAAGTTCCAGTATAAGTTTTAGTATGAACTGTAGTTGTGAACTTGCATTTGATGATTGATTTCTACAAAAATTTGGGTACTATACCATTACCATTCTTCTTAAAAAATAATGTGTATCCTGTTTAACAAATTTTAAGTCTAGCCTTCTCCTTGGTTGGAGCTAGATTTTCTTCCAAATCAAAATTCAAAAAATGCTTATTGTTTATAATAATGAGCTTCAGTAACACAACTTTGTAGAAAGAAATGTACTTCAAAAAACTTTTTTCCATTGGCATTGTATCAAGTTTGAAAATTCAGGTAAAATTTATATGGCTATTACTTCAGTAGTTTAATCGTAACTGCTTGGAGAAGCTATTCAGGAAATTCAAATGTACTCATTGAAGTAATGCCTGAGATACAAACAATTCATGCTGTATGTGCAAAGTCGGGCTTCAGGAATATGGCTGAGAAAGTAGAGTGAAGCTTCCAAAAAATTATGGATTTGCCCAGGAAATTCTCAAAAGAAATCTGTACCTCTTGTCTACTCTTTTCTTAAAATTCCATGTAACACTAGCTGAAGTCAGGAAGCAGAGAAACAAACTATAAAGACTGTAAACAAGAGAGGGAAAAGATCAGGCTGAGGTCCAACTGAAGACCTTGCTTTTGTGATGTAGGAGCAAGAAATGTGACAAGCTTTCAAGAACAAAGATGAAAATAGGATACATTTCTTATCAAGAGAACATATCAGCAATCTTTTTGCTCTTAAGCTTCTCTCATCAATTATGACAAAAATCATAATTGGTTATGATTATGCTTATGCTTCCCAGACTACTTTCTGCATTTCTTTTTTTTTTTCCTTTTTGTCTTCTTTTTGTGTCTGGCAACGGATCGCAACCCTCAGTGTCGCGCCCGTACCGGACCGGGACCGGCAACGGGATCGCAACCCTCAGTGCTGCACCCGCACCTCGCTCAGCCAGCGAGCGGGAACCGGTCTGTATGTGGGATCCGAACCCTCAGCGGGAGCGCCGCCGCGCTCCCAAGTGGCGCACTGCTAACAGTGCGCCACTGGGCCGGCCCATGCATTTCTTAAATAATAGATACCCATGGTTCCTCTTTTGGCAGTTTTTAACTTCCGAGTGTATATAAGCCACTTTTTTAAATAGTCAATAATTTCCTCCTTCCTTTCTTCTCCATTTTTCTATGTTCTTTTTCTCTCTAATTCCTTTTCTTTTTCCCATTAACAATTTGCTCATTGATGTGGGAGGTAAGGATTGTGCAATGAAGGCAGGATGCTAAGGGTAAAAAAGAAAACACTTTCAGTCCTTGTTTTCATCTCAAGTCATGGTGTGGGGCGC